AACTCACTGGTACCGGTACCTCTTAACAAAAATTGAAATTTTAAATAAAACTTTGTCAAACCTTCACATCTTGAGCTCTTTTCCTTGTATGATGTAAATAGTTAAATTTTAAATGTACACTTTGGGATTTTGTCATATGATTACAACGTTATGTGTTGGGTAGTGTTCCCGTGCCAAGGTGACTTTGCGCGGATCCCGTTATGTTATAATCCTGGTAAAGCGAGATAGTGTTGGGTTATATGACGTCCATGGGTATTGCGCAGGTTGATAGGTGATCAACGGCTTGCGAAAGGATCCTTAGATTTAGGGCGTCACATTCAATAGGAGTTGCTCAGACTCGGGCCCGTGCCTAGATTTTTGTTCATATTTGACTCATATTGTAAAACGAACGAGCTTGAATGAGCCAAAAACCAAGTCGAGCCCAAATAACTCAGGTTATTTACTTACCCTATTTCCAAGTCTCTCTCTTTGCACCAAAAAATCAATGGTTCGGCTCCATTCTAGTCAAATATGGATATGCTCAAATGGGCATAACTAGCATCTTAGACCCTAAAATCTCTCCATTATTTTCCCCACTTTTTTTAGTATTTTGAATAGATTAATTCTTTAAAAGCCCCACAATCACATGAACAACAATCAACATTATTTATTTTTTGTGGACTTTTTATTTTATCTTTTTACGGGATCTTTCTTTCTCTCTCAATTACAAATGTTGGACAAATACATTCAAACGCACTCACTAAACATGCACTGCTCAGATTAATTTTTCCCTTCTTAGTCTTCCATTTGTATTATAAATGCCGAGCATACACCCAACACACTAAATTAATAGCCTTAGGTTTCAAATGTGAAATTTCCACAGGCACCTATCTTATAATCTTTCCAAAAACTTGGAATTTGGGTGTGACGTCTTACAAGTCTGACGATGAACATTAGATAGTGATTGCTATTGGTGACCAGACCACATCGTAACCATGACAATAGTAATGCTTGATTAGGAACATTCATAGCTAAAACATGACATACAAAATTGTTATTTTCTTTTTTTTTTTTTTTTTTTTTTTTTGTTTTTTCAGATGTATCTTAGGTGGATCCATTGCCCACCACCAAATTTGACCCTGTTTCAAATTTCAATGAAAACATTTTTTTTTTCATTTTAACAAGAAGAAAAAAAAAACTTTAGTTAGGTTAATTGATTCTACTTCATCTCCCCCAGACCCCCCTTTCTCTTCTTACCAGCATGGACAAGACGGATGGGATGAAGGATAGCAGGCAAAGCAAGCAATATAATAGCAAGGGATTCATATGTAGCTAAAGTATGAGATACTATAAGCCAAACCAGACCATACACAACACTGTTCTGGACCACACCAACCAAAAACTACCATAGACAACTAGACACCACCCAAACACCCCAATTAAAGCCATTACCACTCAATTGCGATCAAATAACATGTGCTACAGGCATTCGTACACACAAAGTTTTTGTGTGGGTGTAGGTGTGTGCTTGCAGTCCCTATGTGTGTGCATTATGTGTGCTTGTGCAAAACAATGTTAGGGATAAAAAGGGTGGTCTAGTTTTGAACGAGGAGGATGGAAAGGGGTTGCCCGTAGAGCTGCTGGGGGAAGGGGGGTAGGGGTTGTAGCTGTGGATGTGGGGGGGTGGTTCTCACACCCCGAATCGACTCAGCATGTGATAGGTGTTACTTTAATCCACAATTGACAAACATTATAATACTGAGAAGTCTACGTAGCATAGTATAATAATCCACAATTGACAAACCACAGATTATTGTATAAACATATGCAAAACTTTTAACCTAACATAATTTGAACTATTACAACCTATTATTCAATTAAGTATACGTTACACACTAGGTTTTCTTTTATTCTACTACAAACTTCTAATACAACTTCCTAAAATATATAGAAACCTTGGTAGATTATTTTGTACACATCTCCCAGCTTTCTCATATTTGAAAAAGAGAAAGTAACGTAGGGTGAGCATCAACAGCTAAGTAGAGTATCTCAATTTCTAAGCAAACGAGTTTGAAAATAGTATAGTTTAGCATGATTGGGCAAGAATCCAAATGAGCAGTTGATGCATATATGTCAGCAAAACGTCGTTTCATGTGAAACTGTAACGGATAAATAAAACTGTAAAAAAGAGTTCAGAAATTTAAGTACAGTGCTACACTGTTGGGCAATTCATCCTAATAGACCACTACGGGTCCATACGAACATACGATCCAACCTTTTGGGGGACTTTCACTCTGAGGAAGATACGCTCCCTAGTCAACGTTCAGTACCCAAGTCCAAAGACCAACAGGGCCATCCAGGGATTTACAAACTCAATGAGTACCCTCTACGGCCTCAAACTGGAATGTAAATTCTTTTGTCACTCAACCCGTGTGTACTTATATTTCCATAAAAAGGATCCCGGAGTTTCATTCAATACGAACAATTCAAACAATACTATTATTTCCAAAACGTTAGTGCAACCCGCACTTTGAAACCTTGCATCCAGGTCTGGATCCAAGCCAATATTCAAAACACCCAATCAGATATTTCAAAACATGCTAAATCATTATAAATAAATTATGGAATAATTTGGAAACAAGTTGGAAAAGCATCGCCTATTCCGGAATTGAGAAACCCTACCCGCTCGGTATTTTGATCTAAAATAACCAAAAATTAAACAATGTTATTTTTCGATGAAATTTAATACACATACTCAATTAAACTACCTAAGAATGAATATAATATTTATTTTCTCAAAATCACTCAAAACTAGGTTAATTTGACCCCGGAGGGCAAAACAGTCATTTTACTCCTCATTTTGATCCGGCCTTCGGATCAACTTGAAATTTTACCGGGACCTCCGCATGAACGTTACGAAGCTTTTGGAACAAATTAGAGGTCGGATGAAGCCAAAATTACCGTCGGAGTCCACTGCCCACTTCATCTTCCACCTTGGTTCATTTGACTTTTACCCTAAGTGCAGAAATTTCTGTTCAACCACTCAACTTTGACTCCCTAGTTCTCCCACTACAGTACACCCTTTCTCTTGATCTCAATATCTACACACTCTTTGAACAACCTAGTTTCAATCCCACATAGATTCAACCTTCGAATTTAACTCTAACATCATCAAATCATTGGTCAAAGTTGGCTAAAAAATATTTTTTAAACACATGGCCAGACCTGCAACTGCCCGTTTCACCCTCCAAACGAACTCTAAATTCAATTCCTAGGCCAGAAATGGATTCCTTGACCCCAAATTAGTTAGACACGTTCCTCCTTTCGAAGTTTAAACAAGTTTTTATTAAAATCATATTTTCACTTTCTTAAACCCTCACACCACCATTACACCACCACACACCACGGCAAACCATCAAACCACCACTAAACATCTCCTCAAGACCCCCCAAACTCAGCTATAGCAAACAACTAACCCAAAACATGCTCAAACCTCAAATCCGTTTCAAAATCCAAAAACCCTAAACTTTAAAACACAAATTCATGCATGAATACTAAACCAAATGAAAATCTAAATATATATATGAGTTCCTAGCATTCATATTAGGCTGTGAGTATACCTCTTAGTGCTCGAAGTAACCTCTGCAAGAAATCCGAAAATGCAAAGCCTATGTTTCTTTCTCTAACTTCTCCTTCTCCTCTCTCTCTCTTCTCACCGAATCCTTCTCCATTTTATACCCCCTCAAGCAGTTCACTCAGCTCTCCCCAAGCAGCTGAGTGTCCTCCATGCAGCCTAACAAGTCTCCATCAGCCACCTTGCATTATGTAGAAGGGTCTTGAATGTTCAATGGCAGTTTGGTAATTTTCCTATTTTGTCTGTGGCAGTTTGGTAATTTCTTTATTTTGTCTAATTTCGAAAATTAATTAATAATAATATTATTATTATTTTTTTCACAATTACGTATATATTAAATCAAGCACTATTGATTAAAATTTTGGACATCGATTTGAACTCCTAACTGTACACATCCAACGATTCCTAATTATTGAAACTCGGTTATTACAGTGGTTCATGGGCCGGTTTTCTGTCCAGCACTCTCTGTTATATTTTAAACTCTTTCTTGGTCTACAGTTAAATGTTCATAAAACTTTGGTCAAATCTTACTATTAAACATGTTATTTCTCAATCAAAATCTCCAATTGGAGTTACCATGTCATTTTACAAAACTTAGGGTCCAATTAAAATTTACCCCATTTTTTAACCAGGAAATTGAAATGATACCATCGTCCACGAAATTGAAACATGTTTTATGTGTTTGGAAATGAGATTAAACTTTTCAAAAAAAACGAATATTATGCCTAATATTAGTCACAAACTGCTCCGAATCTTTTCTTACATGTAATAACTGATAAATTAGTGCTTCCATTTATTTTTATGCAGTGAAAAAATGTACAAACATTCTTTTACATTTTAATGGTCAATATTTTAATCGGATTTTCCAAAAATTAGAATTTAATTATTAGATGGCTCATATGTGTGTATTTTGTTTTATGTATGAATCAAGTAAATTATTCGTATCAAGTGATTTCCTACCTCTACTGCACTTATTTCCCATTCACAGTTCTCTTATTTAAACACCGCAACTGTATCCATTTGTCTGCACTACTCCACTGTATTTGACCTCTTTCAGACGTTAAGAAAAACAGTAGAAAAATCGTCTAATAGGATGGGTGTGTTCTACGCGTGTCATTCCAAATGTAGGGTTAAAGTTCCCTTTGTACTACTTTGTATCCCAGAAGTGTCAATTTTTCCTAACCAGGAAGACATATGAGACCTTTGAATTTTTCTTTTTGATGTTGGAGTTTTCCCTTGTATTGAACCGTTTTATCAGCTTAATCTGTTTTTTTGATTTTTTTTATTAATTTCTAGGGCTACATTGAAACTTATTGGAAAGAAATTCCACTTAAACTTATCATATGTATTTCATAAATGCATAACGACTTCATTGTTTCCTTCCTAAATGTTTTTCAGTTCTTCTGGTTTGTACAAAATATTCCGGCCCGCTGTCGGGGAAGCAGTCAGGTATGAGAAATATTTGTTATGGTTCTTAGCTTCCATGTTGTTACCTTTATTTTTTGTTGTTTCTGAGATTCTACTGTGGTATTGACTGCCACATATGATCTTTTCCTCCCTCATTCTTCAGGGAAATGCCTTTGACTGAACTGAAAGACAAGTACAGGAAAATTTCGTCTTTAGAAAAGGCTCGTAGTGGTTGGGAAAATGAGTACGAAGTTTCATCAAAACAGGTAAATCCCTGGTCATGTTATTGGTTGCTGAAGCATGAGACTCATGCAGTTGGCAATTACTAGAGACACTCATGTACTTGTTTGGAAGGTTCCACATCGCCGATGTGGGAAAAGCTCAAACACATCCCTTGCATGCAAAGCTAACTGACTCATGGAGAGACCAACACAACCCGATTGTACTTCCAATGTACTTGCCCCAACACATAAACATAACGTAACAAAATGATAACAGGAAAAAAATGATTGAATCTTTACCCACTACCAACAGAAACCGAAACTCTCTTTGATGCCATATTAAAGCATCCAATCCAAAACTAAAATGGCAATGATTGGAGAGGTCCACAAAGCACATACACTATTTAGGATGTCCCATATTTCCAATGTAGGCCAAACTCAATAGGTTCCCACAATAAACATTTTGGATTGTTTGTTTCCTTTAAGCCGGTTGGTCCTGTAAAACAATTGTAGGATGAGGTAATAATTCATTATCTAGGAGGAAAAATAACGAAAAGGTAACATGATTCTCGCCACAGGGCCTGTGTAGTTCACTCTCCACCTCCCTTGTGGCTCAAGCTTCTTCATTAATGAGCACAACCCCAGCTTCAATCGAATAAGATCACCCTTATTAGGAACGGCTTGGTTATCTGGCACAAGAATCCTCTATTCAGTATTCCCCTTCGGCATCAAGCTTGTACTTTTACACGGAGACCTAACTAGTTCGCCGACTAGATTTGAATGTGGATCACACTCTTTAATGCCTCCTGATCCTGTTCTAATAGTAGTAGCGTCAGCTAGTTTATGAGAATCCATGACTTTGTGAGAGATCAAATCAAAAGAGGTTGCTAGAGAGGTAGCAAGTGCCAAGAGAGAGACGCCCTTGCTCCATTGCTAACTCCCTGATGCTTTTCCTGCCCATTTTTTCACCAAAATGAACCAACAGTTTTAGCTTAATTTTCCAAATTGAATCCAACATTTCAGCTCATTTTCACCAAAATAATCCAAGAATTTCAGTCCTATTTCGTCAAATAAAATCTTACAATCCAGCTTAATTTCACCAAAATAATCTAATATTTCAGATCAATTTCATCAACATGATCCAGAAACTAAGAACCTGAAATTTTACCAGAGGGGTTCAGCGGCTACTTAGAGGAGTCGTAGAGAGGCAATAAAATCTGTATGTAAGGGTGGATTAGGGGAGGGTGTTCTAGAGATGTGGGAATTGGTAAATGTTGGGATGTGGGAATGGGGTGCAGAAGACGGGAGAAATCAGGGATGAAGTTGCTGGTGATGGGTTTCTCGGGAAGGTGGGATACAAATGGGTCGGTCCTTCGAGGTTCTTCTCATGGCCAATCAACTTTAAGATCCTCCTCTTGGGATATATTTAGAGACATCACAGTGTATCTTCTTCTCAAAGCTCCTCTGTTTCTCAATTGGGCTGGGGTTCTTGAAGGAGTAGCTGAGGATATCAGATGAACCAAAGCAAGGTTGTTGAAGGCATCTCAGATGTATTTTGCCTCTCAATTCTCTCTCCCATTATGCCTGAGTTACTCTTGTCATCAATATAAACATTAGGATTGGCAGATTGTCACTTCTGTAAAGGTCCTTGAAGTGTATTTTTCCTGTGGAGAATCGAACACCCTCAATAATCTATCAATCATTTTAATTTCTTTGAAGTGCTGTGTGCATGCACAAACAACAGTGTCTGCACTAAGATTTCTCTTTCATATTAAAATTTTTTGGGTAGGTATGCCTTATTGCTGATGCTAGCTTGGCTTTATCTTCAAGTAGCTTACTGCTGCCTTGACTTGCAGTGCATGCATGGTCCCAATTGTAAGCTTGGTAACTTCTGTACGGTTGGAAGAAGACTACAGGAGGTAAATGTGTTAGGTGGCCTTATCCTTCCTGTTTGGGGAACTATTGAGAAGGCCCTTTCCAAGCAGGTAACTTGACCTTACTTCCTCTTAATTTGGTTGTTATTTTGGTGTGACATTTGGTAGCTAAATGGGATCCTCAATATCTTGCCATTAGTAGTCCCCTTGTGGCCATGGACTATGACAGAAATTTATTGGTAATCATGGTTTAAGTAATTCAATTCTTAAGTTGATATTTGTCAGTTCTTAGTGATATATCAATGTGAGGATGAGGCAACCAACTGTTGCTGCTTGAGAAAGTTTCTGCAATGTTTGCGAGGCTTAGTTTAATTGTCAGATCAATCATGATTTCACCCGCTGATCTGCCATATTCTGCATCCTCTCTTAACTTCTGAGGTGTTTACCTTCCTATGTTGTCAATCATGTGATTAATTGGTCTAGCTTAACCATGTTGGATCCTGAATCCGAACTTTGGTTTCATCGAGGGCGTGTGATCTTGTGCCATTTTTGGTGAGGGGAGTATCTCGCAAACGTAATTCTTAAAGAAGCTATATGTGTCTGTGTGTGCATTTATAAAAGCTGAAGGACTTAAAGTATCTAGTTTGCCATATTGTTGCCTCTTTTACAATTGATATATTTGAAGTTGTTTATTTGAAATAATTGAAACCTCAATCAACATTCCATACAGGCCCGCCAAAGCCATAAACGACTCCGTGTTGTACGTATCGAGACTACTACAGACAATCAGCGAATTGTTGGGCTTCTTATCCCAAATGCAGCAGTTGAATCTGTTCTTCAAGGTCTCTCTCTCTCTCTCTCTCATGCATGTGTGACCCCATACATGCAACTGTGGGAAACTAAATATAATCAGAACTGTTCAGTCAGGACAATGCATAATGTTTTATGCTCTCACGAAAAACAGAATTCTTAACATTGCACACTTTTATAGTATTTTGCCGTTGAGCAAGTATAGTGTCAATCATGACTGCTGATTCATAATACCGAAGATTAATTACTGAGATGAGTATAGCACTGAATTTCGTTACAAATGGTATGAAATAGCATTTAATGATGAACTCCTCAAACCATACTTCACTTGTTTAAATATCAGGTCTTCTTGATTTAAATTCAGAGCATTTGGAGTGGATTTTACCTTTTTAAGTGATAATTGGGATGTTCTACACATTTAATTAACAAGTATCTACCGTTTTCAATTTTAAGCACTGGACAATGTTATCAAACACCTGCAGAGAATATAATCTCTTTGCTCTGATCTATAACATGATCTTCAATAGAGGATAGATGGGAAAAAAGAATCCCCTGCATTATTTGCATAGGTTTGGGTAAAATACATGGTGTTTGAATGAAAGTTTTTATGCTGATATTTGTTGTTAGGATCCAGACCTTGTCAAGTTTTACATAAAAGATAAAATTCAAATTTACTGTGATGTCATCAATCATGTTTATACTCGTATATGATCGGTTAGTGCTGCCAAAAGAAGAAAATTGTGAGACAGGACTTTTACCTTGAGAAATCAATGTGATTGTGTCTATGATACTTTGGTGACAGATTTAGCATGGGTTCAAGATATTGATGATTGAGATGTAAAGAACCGATGGGTTTTTTTTGGCTAAGATCGGTGATGGTATCGAACTATCGATCAGCAAATTGCTGCTTCATCCTCTCCAGATGCATCTGCATTAGTGCATGGGAAACAGTGGCACTCCAGGGAAGTCATCCCACGCATCAGAGTGAAAGATGATTAAGAAATGATTCTCTGCTCCATCTTGATGGAATTGTGCAGTCTGATTATATTTAATTTTTCGGGCTCCATTCTTTGAGGGGTTTCTTGCTTTTGGGTGAATTATAAGCATTATGCTAAAGGGAAACAACAATTTTTGAGCGGCAGTTGGTACTGCTGGACTAACTTGTATCAATCACAGTACAATGGCATTCAAAATATATAGCTGCAATACAAAATGCTTTTTGTCCACTTACACTACACTGTTGCCGAATACATATATGGCTGAAATACGAAATAATGAATTCGGCTCAAAGTTTAGTCAAACGACTGAAAAGAAAGCAAGGCAAACAAGCACACCACACAAATCACAGATAGACAAGGAATATAATTGTTTATTACTGCCATGAATCATCAGGCTTTTCACACTAGCACACAAAAGGAGCATCGACATGGTGGTCGCTGCAATAGAGGCCGGGACGCTGAGTGAAGCCTTGACTCTTCATCATTTCCCTGGCCTTCAAAACAAGTTCTTGATTGGTAACAGTACCATCTGATTCTGCAATTATGATCTGAATGGCATTGCTGAAAGCTCCGTATGCACCACCAGGGTTGCCGGAAGGGCTGGCATCAGCGGATGTCTGGTTGGTTTGGCAGCCACTAATCAAAATGCCATTATTGGGAAGCTGCCGCTTGCTTGCTCCAGCATAAACCTCCTGCTTGCTGCCCACTTGTGTTTTCAAGGCAGGCTTTGTGTAGCCCTCATCATTTTCTTCCAGCTTCTGCTTGAGGAACTGCTGGGCCAGGCTTCCAACCATTCCCAGAAACCCACCGGATTTGCCTTCTTCATCACCAGATTGTTGGAGTTTGTTCAGTATGACCTTCATGAACTTCTTCACCTTAGGACTTGCATCTTCTCCAAAGATGTCAAAAAGGGTCGGTCTCAGCTTTCCAATATCAATATCATCCTTACCAGTTTTTTGCTTGAGAATCTCAATAAGGGTAGAAAGAGGCAAAGATTTGCTCTTCACATAGCCTTGATCCCCATATTCTGCTTCAACTTCTCCCTCATCCACATCTTCATGGTGTCGACTATGGTGGTGCAATCCCGAAGGGAGGTGAATGCCACGAGATTCAAATGTGTTTTCCAATTTTTGTTGCAAGAAGTTCTTGAATCCAAAACTGGATCCATGCCCCTCATCAGAGGGCTTCGTGCTCTCCCCAATCTGCTCTTTGGCCTCTTCAATGAGGCCACCGCTGTGGCATGAATCAGATACAACTGTCATGCGACAACCTTCCGGTACTTGGTCTACAAGCTCCCTGAAATCATCATCTGCGTAGAGACAATCGTTTTCTCTTAGGAAATACTAGCCGCATTTTTTTAGGTTTTCCGAGGAAAATAATGCAAAGACTCTGTGCATGCACTGGATACTGGAGTAAACAAAAAAGTAGCCCAAAAGTAATAGCTAAAGCACGATATATTTAGAAAGAAAGAGATTGATATTAGTTGAGCTTGTAGAATTTTTGAATCACTGATGAGCGGAACTCGACATTATTTTAAGATGGAATCACTTGCTCCGTGGAAATTCAAGTGTTTGTAGATCAAAGGAAGGAGGGTCCATTACTGATCTTTAGAAATAGTACCATTACATAGGAATGCAAGAAACGCCAGAGATTGAAGAAGCTTCAGCTGGAATTGGGAGCTTTAACCGTTAACGGAAGGTCGCTTCATCCCATAAAAATAAGAGGGCGAAATAATTTTTGAACTATGCAAATAGATCTCCAAGTCAAAAGAAAGTTTATGATGAAATCAATCTATATGTAATTCACAGATGATCAGAGACCACTATCACCTCCCCCCAAACCAAAAAAAAAAAATCCGAATCGCAAAATTATGTAAATAAATCAGATTGCCATTGCTTCTGAAAATTAGGAATCGCAAGAAATTTGAAAATCTTTATAAAATTTTTAGCAATGAGACTGAGACTGAGACTGAGACAGAAACAGGGAGAGAGAGAATCTAATCAACCTGTAATGAGGTTCATATCGCAGGGGACGATGCACTCATCGTAGCCGGTGTCGTCCTCCTCGCCGGTCTCAGCTGGGAGGCGGGTGCCGTGGCCGCTATAGTGTACGAATAGGAAGTCGCCGGGATCGGCGGATCGCACCAGATCGGAGAGAGCCTTACGGATGTTACGGCCTGTGGGCTGAGTGTCGGAGTCGTCGGTGTCGATAAGGACGGTGATGTTGTCTTCAGAGAAGCCGTAACGCTCCAAAAGGCAAGAATACATCCTACGCACGTCGTTGATGCAGCCCTTCAATTCAGCCTTGGTGCCTGGGTAGTTGCATCCTATTAGCACTGCCTTCTTCGCCATTTGATTCTTCTCTCTCTCTCTCTCTCTCTCCTCTCGCTGGCTGGCTACAGTTTGAAGATCAATCAATCTTTCTCTACACCGTCACTTTTTGGGTGTCCCTCTCCTTGGGCCGTGGAAAGTGGAGACCCTCTTTTTTGCTGTCTGTGGTATAGGTACGTCATAATGTAATCTTAGATAGACGGACTTAAAAAATAAATTTAATAATTATAATTATTAATTTTATTATAATTTCTAGTATTTATTAGATTTATCACTTATTAAATGGTCGTAAATATCAAATTTTATTTTTTTTAAGTTTAACTAACATTTTCATTCAATAATAAGATAAGCTGTGAAAAAATTTAGTGTAATTTTTTTTAATACACTCTGAAAATAAAATCTAATTACATTGGCATCTTTTATAATTTTTGAAATATTATTGTGGATAGTACGTTTATTTCACATCCTTCCTGCCCATGTTGTCAGAGGCGACACTTCCAAAAGGCGATGATTTCAATTAATATCTATATAATAAAATAAGAATTTGTTTAAATTTTATATCAGTCATATTATTTTTTTTAAAATCATCATCAATCATTTATCTCACTCATCATTTATTTATCAGACTCAAACATCAAATCACATCACTCACTTTCATCATATATTTAATTATTTATATATTTTCTCCTTAAAAATATCACACCACTCATTTATATCATATATTTAATTATTTAATATTTAATTAATTTGTAGTTAATATATTTTGAAAAAATTTAATATAGTGGAATCAATTTTTTAGATGTTCGAATTTTATATTTTATCGTATCTTCAGACACGGGTTATGACTAGTTTTATCATAATTGATAATTCAATTCTTCAATTATATGTAAGTCTCGTACGCAAATACTTGGTATGATAGAGAAACGATTGGATGAAATGTTAGAGGGATAAATAAAACATCATGTTTGATAAAGAATAAAAATAAAGATAGAAAAGTTGATGAATTAATTTTTTTTCCAACTCACCCAAATTAATTACTCCAAAATCGGAAGGAAAGTTGATAGAAAGTTAATTATTTATATTGAGATGTATTTTATTTTTTTATATATCTTTTTATATATACATATATTATGTATACATTAATTTTATATAAAAATACAATAATAAAATATGTATTTATATATATTTTTTTTAAAAAATTTGAAATATCAATTTAAAAATAAAAATAAAAATTTTAATTAAAAAAAATATTTTTTCCATCTTAATTAAGGGTGAAAATTTTTGATTCAACAGGATGACATAACTCGAACTCGACATAAATTTTATGACACGAACTTGATTAACTCGAACACGAAATAAACAGGTCAATTCATAATTCGACACGACATAGTTAATTAAATAAGTTGAGTTAGGTGTAACTAATGTTCGACACAAACCCGTAATGACTCAACATGAATCTGACATGACACAATTCGATTGTCACCCCTAATCTTAATCAGCAAAAAAAAAATTTAGTCATTTTTATTTTTCATCCATTCAACCAAATATAAAAGAAAGAAAGTGTATCATTCCTACTTTTCTTTTTTTAAGGATAGAAAATATATCTCTCCTACTTTCTACCGAACAAAACATTATTCTTTTACTAAACAAAATTAATCTTAAAATCAAACAATCTTCGTATCCTTCAATTTCATTTCTTCATATCTCACACACTAAATATCTCATACACATGCATAGTTGTACACACACAAACACATTTAATCAATTTGTAAGGTAGGGAAAAATTTAGTCTTCATCGCCACCACATGCCAAAATTCAAATTTCACCACTTGAATATTAATTTCGTAATAAATTGATAATGTTAATTTGGTTATGAATTTGATAAAATTGGTGTTAATATGATAAAATTGAATGTAAACTTGATGAATTTTATTGTTAATTCTATACTAATTTGATGAAATTAAATATTAGTTGGATGAACTTAAATTTTAATTTGGTGGTAAATTAATGAATTATGTGTTAGTTAGATGAAATTGAAGGTCAATTCGATGTTAATTTGATAAAATTAAATTTTAGATTAATAAAATTGAATGTTAATATAATAATAATAGGACAATATTAACTATTAATTTGTTGTTAAATTGATGATATTAATGTTAAATTGACGAAATTAAATATCAATTTGATAAAATCAAAGGTCATTTGGGAATAATTTGATAAAATTAAATATTAATTTAATAAATTAGGGGTCAAGTTGGTTTGTGTGTGTAACAGTAGGTATAAAAAAGTAAAATATATATTTGTTAACTCTTAAACTATATAATTCTTATTTTATTATTGCTATTATAATATATATATATATATATATATATATATAGAGTGTGTGTGTGTATACATTTTAGAAACTATAAAGGTGTTGCTGTAATTAGGTCATATTTTAGGGGATGTCAGTAAAATTTATCCTAAAAATTAAATATTTATTGTACAACATTTATTATTTAGATAGTAATTTATTTTATTTTTTCTTTAATTATATAATTGTCATGCCCCAATTTCCACAAGTACCGACATGAACTATTTATTAATTATCAAGCTAGGAGAGTATAACTAAATACCATAAATTTAATCAATGGCAATTACCATTTATCAGCTCACTAAACGAAAAATTCCAAAGTGTCATAATTCAACCATAAAATATTGCATCCCAAATTTTAGCATTTAATAAAATCTTAAATAAAATTCCTCATAGTCCTCATCCTCACCTAAGGTAATATCTTTTTCAATACAAAAGATTAAAAAATGTTAGAGGAAGAGAAAGAGGCGAGCACAACAAGCTTAGTAAAAAAAAAATCAAACCTAAAGAAAGTTTATAAAATATATTAAAAAAGGTAAATTTCAATTTACAAAGAACATATATAACTTTTGAAGTAAATAAATGATATTTAATAATGATTTTAAGTATACGATACTTAATCAATAAATTCATGCAAAAGTAACTTTATTTAGAAAACCACAACTTATAACAGGAATTTCCCATAGCAAAAGATCATAACCAAAATATTTCATAGCAATAGATCATAAAAAGAATATCTCATGTATGTAGATTTATTAACTGGAATTTACACATCGACTATAGTTGGCCCACACTTACACCCAAATCATTAAATCAATCCCAGTATGACCATAACACTTTAACAAGTATGTATATCGATACATCAGCATTGATGAAACTTTCCCAAACTTATATATACTAATCCTCAATCTCAATCACAGTGAGCAAATAATGCGAATTCTTGGAATCTCGTAATGAACCAAGTAATTTCATTTTGAGTAATAGAGAACCTTCAAACCCGCTCAAAGTAAAAAACTCATCTAAACACTATTTAAATATATTTAACTATAGTCCACCTTCATCACATCAAAATAATATTCAAACTTTCAATAAAGTTCATGTATCTCACAATTCTCAAAATATAATAGTAATTCAATTAAAATATGTAAGATATCGTATAATGATTTATTCAAGTTAACCATGTTTGTGATCTAAGATTTTTGGATGAAAATCACATGATTTTCAAGAAACGAATAATATAATTGAAAAGAATGTGAAATCATTGTAAATCAATAATATTTCTACAAATTGGAATCAAAATTTACACATATAATTACCCTAACCTCAATGAATTGGATTTAAGAAAGAAATCATACCTTAATCTGTAAATAATTGATCCTAACACGTTGTGATGTAATTATCATGTGTTAATCATGAGATCTAGCCCATTTTCCTCTCTTCTAACTCCTCTTGGCTTCCTATGGTTGAAAATAGATAAAAACAACCTAAAACACATCCCTAGGGTATTTATAGGGTCAAGAAAGGAAAAAAATCTTAATGACTAATTGGGTTGTTTTTAGCGAGGTGTTCGGACAATGGGAATGGCGTCCAGACGGTTCTTACTTACCTTTTCTCCTTTATTCTGATCATATGCACAATTTCAATTTTTGGGCTGGTGTCTGGACGGTTCGGGGTCATTCAGACGCCGGTGACTTTTTGTTCTAGACTTCTGGCTCAATTTTAACGTAATTAGAGGTCAATTCATAATTTTTTTGTGAAATACATGTTTTTACCTATTGAAGTCTACTTTCCCATTCCACAAGAATTAGATCAATCAGACACCAATGTAAAAATTGATGACCAAAATACCGAGATAGTGTCAAATTTCTTCTTATCCGAATTTTCTCCAAAAATACGTTTTAACTTCGAAATACTTCCAAACTTCTACTACATACCATATCACATATCCCAAGGTTTTTTGGACCTTCGCAATTCAATGGTAACATTATTTTGATATAAAAATATTTAAAAACTTATTTAGTTTCCCTTTTTCAAGTTTAAACACCCCCGAAACAAAATTCGACTTAAAAGTTATTTCGCATGAAGCTCAAACTTCATACCCATTCTTTCAACTATGATTCAAATTTTTTATCATCATTTTAATCATTTTAGAGGTACTCTTAATATAATATTATCCATATTTAATTATAGTATGGAGTCTTACAGTAATTTAAAATTAAAGTGGGCATAGAGAAAAGAAAAGAAATGTAGAGAGAGAGAGAGAGAGAGAGGGGGGGTTCAGAGTGTGTTTGTTTAGTTATTTGACATTAGTGGGCTGCTTAGAAAATATAATATTTTTTGGTCCAAAAAAAAAAATTGGAATGAATTTTGTATTGTTAGATGAAATTGGATGAATATTGGATTTATCTCAATCGTTGTTTTGTTTTTAAAAATATGCAATTTCAATTTGTTAGCTGTAATATTTTAGAGATCGAACAATTTTATAAGAATCAAATTCAATGTAACCATTGAATTAGGGGGTTTAGGGAAGCCAGTACCTCTTAAAGAATTTAATAGGACAAAAATATATTTTTTAAAATATTTGGGATAGAAGTACATCTGTTAAAAAAAAGTCATAAAAGCCCTTTTAGATGAGGAAGATGAAGAGACATCTGATTTGAGAATCAAT